TTATTTCCTTGCATGTAAAATGGGGGTAGTAATACCAACTACAGAGTCATTGTAAGGGTTGAATAAGCTCATGCTAAAAAGCACTTGGCATCATGCCACACAAACCACAGGCAATGGGCAAATGTGAATTCTTGTTCTTTTTTTTTTAAAGAATTATATGTTTTTTTTTTTTTATAGAGGCATGTTTTATTTATTTATTTATTTGTTTGTTTTGTTCATTTTGTTTATACATGCACTGGGTACAGTCAAAAGCGCGGGAGGGCGAGAGAATTCACCAGAGCCAGAGTGGGGAGCAGAGCAGGCAGAAGGACCGAAGTACACTGCTGAGGGGAGCAGAAGGCGGCAGGAAAGGTCTGTGTGCCATGTGGGACCCTCCTCCGGTGGCCGGGGAGCAGCCGGGGATCGAACCGGCGCCGCAGAGGCCTCGGGCAGCTTCGCAACCCAGCGCTCAACCGCTGTGCCACCGGGGAGGCCCTCTTGTTCATTTTTGAATGACAGAGTTATGTGCTGTCAGAGTTGGAGTGGTTTTAGAAAATAGATGTCCAATCCTTTCATTCTACAGAGATAAAAGGACCTCTGATATCTATTCTAAGTTTCTCCTGTTACAATATTTGCCAATGCTGTCCTTACTAGAAACAGAGCACTCCTCTGCTCTTAGCTATATAAATCCTACGTGAGTTCTATATCTGTCCATAAAAGGATATTTTGACTCCTCCATTATTTTCCCCAAGAGCACTTGCCTATCATTTCCTTTTGGTTCCAACAAAGGTGTCATCAATTACTGTATCATACTCAAAGTGATCAGAAATAGATGGGGCAATTTTGTTAGTAACATAGTAAACAAATCCTAAACAAGTTCAACTATCTTGGAATTTCTGAAGGAAATTTCTCAAAATTATTGGATAAGCTAAGAAATGAATATAATTTTCCGTATCTTTTTTACTCTGCATATTTTTAGCAATATGAACTGTCAGTTTTAAAAATATATATGAGAAAATTTGCATTTTAGGCATGCAATTCAATAGCATTTAATACATTAACCATTGTATTTAGGCTGTTTCCACTCTATACAGAATTTTTTCATCATCCCAAACAGAAATTCTGTATCCATTAAACAATAGCTATCCCTTCCTAGTACTTGGTGACCTCTATTTCAGTATTTGTCTCTATAAAATTGCTTATTTTAGACATCTCATATTAATGGAATCTTATATTTATTCTTTTGGGTCTGGCTTCTTTCTCTTACCATGTTTTAAAGGTTCGTCTTTTTTTTGGAGCATTTTCTCAAAATTTCATTCCTTCTTATGGCTGAATAATATTTTAATTTATGGATGTATTGCATATTACCCATTCATCTATTGATGGACACTTGGGTTGTTTCTACCTTTTGACTTTTGTAAGTAATGCTGCTAAGAACATTAGCATACAAGTAACTATAAGCATTTTATCCAATCTATAATGAGTAGGCTCGATAACTTAAACACACACACACTCACACTCCATTCCAAAGTCTCTGGATCAGAAGATATCTGGAACCTGTTAATTTTTTTTAAAAAAGATTTATTTGTTTATGCATACAAGAGCTGGGGTACAGGCCAGAGATGCGGGGCGGGGGTGAGAGGATTCACCAGAGACAGTGTGGAGAGAAGAACAGGCAGATTGACCAAAATACATTGCTGAGGGGAGCACCGGGTGAGACAAGAGAGGTCTGCTGCGCCATGTGGGTCACCTACCTGGCCAGGGATTGAAGTCGTGCTGCGGTGGCACGTATTGCTTCATAGTGCTGCGTCTTAACCTGTTGCACCACCAGGGAGGCCCCTGGAACCTGTTAACTTATTGGATTTAGCAGACGTGATTATTAATTTAAGGATCTTATGATGGGGAGAGTATCATGGATTATGAGAATGAACCCTAAACGCAATCCTTATAGGAATAATACAGAGGGAGGCTTGACTATCATAGGAGAGAAGGAAATAACGACAGAGGCAGAGATTGGAGTGACACAGCTAAGGAATGTGGATAGCTACCAGAATCTGGTCAGATTCTCCCCTGTAGCCTTTGGAGGAGAACCTCTGGCGATACTAATTTAGGATTTCAGAACCCTAGAAATGTGGGAGAATAAATATTGGATGTTTTAAGTCACCAACTTTGTGGTAATTTGTTACAATAGCCAGAGGAAACAAATATGAGAATTGACGGAAATAATGAATACAAATTAAAATTGCACGAGACTAAAAATTGTCAGAAGAATAAAATATTTTTTAAAGATTTATTTTATTTATATATGCATGCAGAGCTGCAGTGTAGGCCAAAGGTGCAGGGTGCTGAGAGGATTCACAGAGACAAAGTGGGGAGCAGAACAAGTGGATTGACTGAAACACCGCTGAGGGGAGCAGTGGGCAAGACAGGAGAGGTCTCCTTTGCCATGTGGTTCAGCTCCCTGGCTGGGGATCGAACCATGCTGCAGTGGCTGCAGATAGCTTCACAGTGCTGAGACTTAACCCCTTGCACTACCAGGGAGGCACAGAATAAAATATTTTGAATAGAATTCAGATCTATGGAATGTTGATAGAAAGAAGGCTTCAAAATGGCAGAAACTATAATCAAAAATATTTTATATGTAGACCAAAAGTTGCTTAACTGACTTTTCTAGTCAGGTTTTCAGAGAAAATTATTGATCTCAGTGAAAATAATTTCATTAAATGAAAAATGAGAAAAGCTGGGAACAATTTAATTGTGCCATAATCAGTTAAGGAATCAAATTGGCTTAATGGAACTTGCCTCAAAAGAAATTGCTTGCCTTGAAAATTCACTGATGTTGATATAATCTTAAATAAAATGTTTGTATTCATAAATAGAGTCAAACATCCTTCAGGTCAAAATGCCTTATGTCCCTTTCCGCATATCTTTAAGCTTGACTTATTTTTAGAAAATAAAAACCAGAACATTTCTTCTACCTAAAACCTTGGTCCCAAGAATTTCCTTCCATTTAGAGATGAACCTATGACTACAGAATCCTAGCATTGCCCGAGAGGAAAGGAAACTTCACAATGACTATTGACTCAAATCTTTAATTTCACATCTTAGGAAACTTAGGTGAGAACAAGAAAAGACTGATCTAAAGTCACCCCCAAAAAAACCAATAGCCCTCAACTACCAGACCCCTCTCTGCAATGTAAATTTCTGACAGCTTCTCAATAGCACTTTTGCTTTTATATAAGGGAGAGAATTGGGGGCTCTCCAGACAACTGCCTCATTTCAGAGCTGCTTTGTGCTGACACTCTGAATTGATTGATTTCCTCTCTGAGATTTGTTTGCTTTCTAAAAAGGAACTGCAGTCTCTTCTTCTCCATGGCTCCTGCCATTTTAGGCCCTATCTTAGAGGGTCTTTTCTTTCTGGGGAACATCAGCTCCACACTCCTGGTCTTCTGTTTCAACCACTTCCAGCCCATCCTCCACACTAGCCTCCCACAGTGTTTTTCTTCATTAAATACTCAATTTAAAAATTATTGCAAAAGGAAGCTTCCCTGGTGGCACAAAGGGTTAAGTCTCAACACCATGAAGCTATCTGCAGCCACTGCAGCATGAGATTGATTGATCCCCAGCCAGGGAGCTATCCCACATGGCACAGCAGACCTCTCCTGTCTTGCTTGCTGCTCCCCTCAACAGTGTATTTCTGTCAGTCTGCCTGTTCTGCTTCCCACTCTGTCTCTGGTGAATCCTCTCACCCCCCAGACCTCTGGCCTGTACCCCAGTTCTTGTATATGTAAATAGATAAATCTTTAAAAAATTATTACAAAAGAATTCAAGTACACCAAAAGTTTAGTTCCTATCCATCTTCACCCAGAGGCATCCACAATCCAGAAATTTATTTTAGTGTTTATCATGGCCATCAATGTCTTCATAATTTGTGCTACATGTAGGTAATACCTGCAATATACTTTGAACTCTCATATATTACTGGTGAGACTGTAAAATCATTAAGATGCTTTGGGAGTTCTTCAAAAAGTTAGACATAGAGTTACAACATGACCCAGCAATTCCACTCATATATTCACATGCACACACATACACGATACATGAAAATATATATTCACATAAAAACTCGTGCCCAGAAGTTTATAGTATCATTATTCATTATAGCCAATAAGTGGAAACAACCCAAATGTATATCAACTGATAAAACGATAAACAGAATGTGGCTTATGCATAAAGTGGAACATTATTTTGTCATAAAAGGACTAACATACTGATTCATGTGGAAACGTGAGTGAATCTTGCAAACTTGAAAAAAAGCCAATCAATAAAGAATACATATTACAGGGCCTCCCCGGTGGTGCAGCGGTTGAGCGCTGGGCTGCGAAGCTGCCCACAGCCTCTGTAGCGCCAGTTCAATCCCTGGCCACCGGGTGAGGGTCTCACATGGTGCGCAGACCTCTCCCACCACCCACTGCTCCCCTCATCAGTGTACTTCGTCAGTCTGTCTGTTTTGTTCCCCCCTCTGACTCTGGTGAATGCTCTCATCCTCCCGCACTTCTGACTGTACCCAGTGCTTGTATAAATAAGTAAATAAATAAATCTTTAAAAAATATATATATATTACATGTTCTACTTACTTGAATCCATAGAGAAGAAAGTATATGAGTCCTTGTCAGGTTGATGGGAGGGGGAAATGAGGAATGACTTAAGGGGTATGAGGTTTCTTTTGGGGTGAGGAAAATATTCTGGAGTTAGAGTATTGATAATTGCATGATCTTGTGAATAAACTAAAACCACTAAATTATATACTTTAAAATGATGAATTTTATGGCATGTTAATTATATCTTAAGAAAAAAGCATAGTACAAAATAGTGCACACTCATGGACATACTATTGCAGCTTAAGAAAAAAAACTGGTAGAAAACATACATTGTACAAAAATGAAGAATGATGTAAAATATATATAAAATAAAAAATTTAAATAAAAATTTAATTAAAAATAATTAAAACTTTTTAAAAGGAAAAAACTGGTGACAGATAAAAATTGCAGCTTCCTGTGCACCCCTCCTTGATCCTGTTCCATCCATCTTTACCCAGAGGCATCCACAACTCTGAAATTTATTCTGATGTTTATCATGGCAATAAATGTCTTCATAATTTGTGCTACATGAAGGTAATATCCTCAATATACTTTTTTCTACCTATATTATATACTTGTTATTTCTATTTTTATTTGATGTTTTCAAATGTGCATAAAAAGGTCAAGATTCGTATACCAATTATCTCAAATAAGATGGTGAAGAGCAATTTAAAGTGTATACAACTGTCATTTCCCCCCTACAGTATATTTTTGATAATTATCCATATTTCTACACTTTCATTGTTGTATAGTATTTTATTGTATGAATATTCTACAATTTTCTTTCTTTTCCTATTGATAACCATTTAGGTTATTTTCAATTTTCCAGTGTTACAATGCTTCAAAGAACATCTTGAATATCTCCTTTTGCACATGTTCCACAGTTTTCCTGGGATGTATATCCAGGAGTAGAATCAATGAGTCAAAGGTCTATACAGCTTACACTTGGTTAGATATGGCCATAGGCGTCTAACTGGCACACCAAGTTACAGTTCTGCCATCGGGGAATGAGAGAGTAATTTTCTACATCCTCAATTGTACTTGATGTTGACAGATGCTCTCTTTGCCAAACTGAATTGGTATTTCACTATAGTTTTAATTTGCATTTCTCTGATTACTAGTCAGTGAAGCATTTTCATATGTTTGTTGTTCATATTGAGTTTCTTGTTGATATCCTTTGTCTATATCCATTATCTCTTTTTCAGGAATTTTTTTGTCTACTCTGCATTCTCTTACTTTATCAGCAGAAAGCATTGCTGGGATCTTCTCCCAGTGAGTGACTTATCTTTTCATTATGGCATATTTTGATGCACACAAGTTCTGTATTTATTTATTTATTTATTTATTTATTTATTTATTTTTAAGGTTTATTTATTTATTTATACAAGCTCTGGGAATGTCAGAAGCACTGGAGGGTGAGAGAATTCACCAGAGCCAGAGCGGGGTACAGAACAGGCAGACATGAAATACAGTGCTGAGGGGAGCAGCAGGCGGCAGGAGAGGTCTGCTTCACCATGTGGAACCCTCACCAGTGGCCGGGGATCAAACTGGCACTGCAGAGGCTGCGGACAGCTTCGCAGCCCAGCGCTCAACTGCTGCGCCACCAGGGGAGGCCCAATGATGGTTAATTTTTTAAAAAGCTTTATTTATTTATGCATAAAAAAGCTGGGGTACAGGCCAGAGGTACGGGGGTGAGAGTATTCACCAGAGACAAAGTGGGAAACAGAACAGGCAGACTGACCGAAATACACTGCTGAGGGAAGCAGCTGGCAAGACAGGAGAGGTCTGCTGTGCCATGTGTGTTGCTCCCAGGCTGGCCGGGGATCAAACTAGTGCTGCAGAGGCTGCGGATTGGCTGCGGATTGCTTCATAGTGTGTTGCTTAACCCCTTGCGCCACCAGGAAGGCCCTAGTGTGATGGTAATTTTGTGTGTCAACTTGACTGGGCTACAGAATGCCTAGATGTTTTCTTAGGCCTTACTCTACATGTGTCTGGAGGAGATTAATATATTTGAATTGGTGGACAGAGTAAAGTAGATTCCCTCCCCAGTGGGTGTGGACCTCACCCAATCCATTGAAGGCCTGAATAGAATAAAAAGGCAGAGGAAGGAAGATTTGCTTTTTCTGCCTGGCTTGGACTTCTGTCTTTGGATACAGACCTAGATGAACTTATGTCATAGGTTCTTCTGGTTCTGCATCTTGCTGACTTCACATCTTGGGACTTCTCAGCCTCCATAACCACATGAATTTATTCCTTATCATATATCTAATCCAATCTAATCTAATCCAATCCAATCTAATCTAATCTAATCTATCTGAAATAGAAGATATATGTGTATCTGTGTGTATATATATTTTATATATAACATAAATGTGTTGATTTTCTTTTTTTTTTCTTTTTTCTGTGCTGATTTTCTTTTTCTTTTTTTTTTGAGAACACAAACTGATACAGTTATGATTTTTGCGTCTTGTTTAAGGAATACTTTCCTAGTCTGAGGTCTTAAAGATGATCTTTAATTACATCTGAAGATTTTAAAGTTTTGCTCTTTGAATCTAGGTCTTTAGTCCAACTGAAGGGTTATTTTTGTGTATGCTATGAAGTAGGAATCCAATTTTTTTCCAAGTGAATAACCAATTGTTCAGTATCATTTAAAAAAGTATTCCACCTATATTCATTTTCTACAACTGTCGTAACACATTACTACAAACTAGGTGGCTTAAAATGACAGAAATTTATTCTCTTGTAGTTCAGGAGGCCAGAGTCCAAAATCTAGTTGTTAGCAGAATTTGTTCCTTCTGGAGACTCTGAAGGAGAACACATCCCATCCCTCACTTCTGGCTTTGGGTAGTTGCCAGAAATCCTTGGTATCCCTTGGCTTGTAGACACAGTATGCTGGTCTCTGCCTCTTTCTCCATATGGCCTTCTTTGTGTCCGTGTCTCTTTACCACTTCTTATGAGGTCATTAGTCATTGGATTTAGGGCCCACTTGAAATCCAGGATGAATTAATTTTGAGATCTTTGACTAATTACATCTACAAGGACCCTATTTCTAAGTGAATTTTGGAGGGTAAGACTATTCAACCCATGACTCCTTTACTATTCCTTTGCAAATGTCATTTCTGTTATATAGCAAATGTTGGAATATGTGTGGTCAGAGTGATCATGTTATAATGCAAATATCTGATGAAATCATTATACATTTTTCATGAGATAGTCTTACATAATCCTTACAATAGTTCAGTGAGGTACTATTAAAATCACCCATACTACTAAATCATTGACACAGTCAGCATTTGCATGTTATGATATGATAACAAGCACCCCCAAATCTCAGTGGTTTACAACAACAAAGTTTTCTCCTTCAATTTATACATCAATAGCTGTGGGCAGATATTGGTTGACTTTTCACTCTAGGATCCAGACTGAAGCTGCAGCCTCTATCGAGGACATGCCATTCCAGTGGCAGAGATAAAAGAGTAAGATTTTAAATTGAAACATGCCAAGGTTCTTCAAGTATCTACTAGAACTGACATATCTATTTGACTCAAATTTCATTGGCTATAACCTAATATGGGCTAAGAAAGTACACCCCTTCCTCTGGAGGTTACTCAAGTCATGTGGCAAGAATTCACTGACTAGAATGTATAAGCTTACTGGGGAAGGAGAAAACAATAATGAGAATAATAATATCTCTACTGCAGGGGTTAAATAACTTGCCCAAAGCTGGGATTCAAACTTAGATCTTCTTTCTTCAAAATGATACTGCATTCCATGGCTCCCTGTTAGCTGCTAAAGGGAGTCCAAACATATTTTAGCTTTAAGTTTTCTGCATGAGCATTCCTGCAACTTGGAGTGTCCCTCTACATTGTCTGTGTGCTGCACTCACTGTTTAAGACTCTGGCCTTTGTGAGCTTCTCACTTAGGGGTTAGTCACCATATGCCTTCATTACTCTTTATCCTCTTCATTACTGTCTTATCCTCTCTTTTTTAAATTATTTATTTATTTATTTATGCATACAAGAGCTGGGGTATAGGCCAGAAGTGTGGGGGGTAAGAAGATTCACCAGAGACAGAGTGAGGAGCAGAACAGGCAGATTGACTGAAATCCACTGGTGAGGGGAGTGGCAGTCAGCTGTACCATGTGGGTCACCTCCCTGGCTGGGGATCGAACTCATGCTTCAGTGGCTACAGATAGTTTCATAGTGCTGACTCTTCTCCCCATGCTCCACCAGGGAGGCCCTGTCTTATCCTCTCTTAAAAGTGGGCACACTTTTTATTTGTCATGGGTTCCCTCAACTCTCATGGTCTTGCACAGAGTTCCCTAAATGTTTGCATTACTTGGGGTGACTGATTAGGGACCTGAGCTGCAACTGGGCTATGCTCCCCCGGATGGGAACACTTGGCCTACTTTTTCACCCCTCTCAACTAAGCGTGACACCTGGTGCTCTGGCGACTGGCAGGTCAGCTCTGTATGACTCACTCTGTAAACCTTCAGCACCTTCACCTCAAGGCCCTGGGATGGGGTGTGTGTGCTGGTGGTGGGGGCTGGGGTAGGAATTAACTCTGCTTTTCAAAATCCTTCTCTTCCCTTGCTCCAGGACAAGGACAAGTAAAAGTCCTTTAAGTCCCTACTCATTAGACCGAGGAGGACTTGGGAGACCCTGGAAGGTGCAGGGAAAGGAGGAAAGCATTGCTGTATCATAAGAAGAGAACTAATAAGAGAAAGGGGAAAAGAATTACACACTGAAAGACTTTAATAACTTGTCCCAAGTGATTTAATCTAAATTTTCTGAGCTTTAGTTTCCCCAGATATAAAGTGGAGACTATACTGATCTTGTCCCCTTCCCTAAGTCATTGCAAAATACATAGTAAAATACTGGAAATCGGGCCTCCCCGGTGGCGCAGCGGTTGAGCGCTGGGTTGCGAAGCTGCCTGCAGCCTCTGTGGCGCCGGTTCGATCCCCGGCTGCTCCCCGGCCACCAGAGGAGGGTCCCACATGGCGCGCAGACCTCTCCTCCCGCCGGCTGCTCCCCTCAGCAGTGCACTTCGGTCCTTCTGCCTGCTCTGCTCCCTGCTCTGGCTCTGGTGAATTCTCTCACCCTCCCGCGCTTCTGACCGTACCCAGTGCTTGTATGAACAAAACAAACAAACAAATAAATAAATAAGTAAAAACATGCGTCTATATAAAAAAATAAAATAAAATAAAATAAAATACTGGAAATCTTTAGAGGTGCAGGCTTGAAATCACACACACACACACACACACACACACACACACACACTTGTAATGGGAAGCCTCTCATAGCCCCTGTGTAACCATGGGAAGATTGTGTCTCTCCATGAACCCTGGTATCCTCTTCCATAGAAGGAGAATAATAATTATAGCTACCTCCCAGGGTAAGAAACTTATGTAAGTAAAGTGCCTGCGCATAGTGCTCAATAACATTGGCTGTTTTCACCTGAGATGATGATACTTACTATTTAAAGAAAGGACCTTTTAATGTCATTTGTGAACATTAAAAGGAGTGGGACATTCTTAACTTTTCTAAAAACTGGTTCTTTTTTTAAACAAGTATGAGGTGTGGCTCAAATGAATGAGGAAACAGTTTAAGAAAGGACAGCACACAGAAAACTGTTTTCATAAATCTTGGGGAAGGCATAGAATGCTTGGCTCACCCTCCCCAAAGATCAGAGGTTCTTGTCTCCTACTCCCACTTGTACAGATACAGTCCACTTAACTCCTTCCTGTCCCCTCCTACCAATTCAGTCACCAAGTCCTGGGGAGGCTGCCTTTATAATTATAATCATAACCACAATCATCGCCAGAACATAGTAACAAGACCCATGATGTTGCTACTTTTATCTAAAGGCTGTCTAATATTTTAGCCCACTTACCATAATCTCTCTCTCCTAAACAGAATCCAGAGTTAGAAGGGACTTGAAACATTATTCTGCACTTCACAGATGGAGAAACTGAAATCCAGAGAAGGGGAGGAATTTACCTCACCCACACATTAAATTAATGGCAGAGTAGGACTAGAAGCTGTAGCTCCTGGCTCCTGCCAAGGGCCAGTGGTCCTTTCCTGACATATCTGTCCTTGGCTTTCGGTTCCCACTGCCACTCAGTCTGTCCTCTTATCTTATGGATATTGTAGTATTTCCTAACTGACTCTTCCTACCTCTGGTCCCTCCACATCAGTGTGTTCCATACATATGGCCAGATAGTTGCATGGAAACACGGCCTTCATCTTGTCTTTTCACTCCTAATAGAATCTGGCCATTTTCAACTTAGAGGGTTATCTGGCTCTTGGCTCAGTTTCCAAACGATGAGCCAATAATATATGTCTCGACAGGGAGCTCATCACTCCTAGAGTGGTCCATTCCCTTCTTGCCTAGAGTTGCCTGTTAGAGAGTACTTTAAAATGGGCTGAAATTGTTCTCCTGGAGGTACACCCTGAATGGATATTCTATCCAGCCAACAAATGTGAGTTTAATATGGGTTAGGTCCTTAGTGGACTTGATACTGAAGGGAACAGAAAGAGTCTTCCCCAAGAATCTGTGATTTTGAGGTTCTCAAAATTTTTTATTTTAGTAGATCTAAATAATAAGAAACTAAATCTCCTTTCTGCATGACAGCCCTTCAGGTGTTTGGAAACAGTCATCATCTTCTCCTGGGCATCTAAATCATTCACCAAAAGACATAGCATCCTGGTCCTCAGCATTTCAGTCTCCTCCTCTAGTCAGACTCCTGTGTGACATTATCAACTTCAGGCCTGGATCCCATGGACCAGCTGTGAGCCACCCAGGGCAGCATAAAACTGAGGTAGCCTCTGGTTTCTGTTGATAAAGTATATCGTGTTCATGTTTCCTTCTCTTCCTTCCTTTTTGCCTTCCCTCCTTTCCTTCCTCCTCCCTTCCTTCCTTTCATTTTTTGCAGTCATATCGCACTGTTTAGCTTGAGGTCAATGCAAATCTTCAAGTCCTTTTCACTGAAACTGCCCTTAATATAGATTCTTTCTATCCTGTATTTTGGATTTTTGATCAGTTAGATTTGTGCTGTCCTGTATGACAGCCACTAGCTGCATGCGACAATTTAAAGTAGTTAAAATGAGGGTTTCCCTGGTGGCACAACCTCTGAGGCTGTCCGCAGCCTCTGCAGCACGAGTTCTATCTCTATGCCCGGCAGGCCAGGGAGCAACCCACATGGCGCAGCAGATCTCTCCTGTCGGGCCTGCTGCTCCCCTCAGCAGTGTATTTCAGTCAGTCTGCCTGTTCTGTTCCCCACTCTGTCTCTGGTGGGTCCTCTCACCCCCCACACCTCTGGCCTGTGTCCCAGCTCTTGTATGCATAAATAAATAAATCTTTTTTAAAAAGTAGTTAAAATGAAATAAAATGAACATTTTCGTTTCTCAATTGTTTTAGTCACATTTCAAGTGCTTAACAGTCACAGCTGGTTAGTGGCTATCACATCAGACAGCACAGAATTAGAATACTTCCATCATCACAGAAAGTTCTATGGGACTGTACTGGTTTGGACTGCAGGGCAGGAGTTTACAATTATTCTGTATGGCACCTTATTTTGTTAGTTCTAGCTTAGCCCCCAGGGCTGCTCAGATCTTTTAGAAACTAATTTTGGTGTCCAGAGTGTTTGCTGTCCTTCCCAACTTCATGACACTTGTAGATTTGATTAGTGTCTCATGCTTTCCTCTGCTTCATCTAAAACCACTGATAAAAAAGCCCCAGCAGTACAAGGGGATGGCAACCAAGCCCTGCCTGTGGCACTCAGCACTCTGCTACTTCATATAGCAGTGGTGAAGTATAGAATACCACGTTCTATTGCTCCTGTTTCATTGCCTTTTGTAGATGTTATGTGTTTTCCAAAATGAGGGTTTGGGGTAACCCTGTGTGCAGCAAGTCTATCAGCAAATTTCCAATAGCGTGTGCTCACTTTGCGGCTCTGTGTCACATTTAAGTAAGATATGTCAGTTGAATGATACTTTAACAGTGTGTACATTATTTTATAGCCATGTTATTGTGCATTGCACTGAGTAGACTACAGTATTGTATAAACATAACATATATATGTATGCATGCATTGGAAAACCAAAAGAGTCATCTTACTTGCTTTTATTGCAATATTTGCTTTATTGAGGTGGTCTGGAATGGAACCCACAGTATCTCTGAGGAGTGCCTAAAGTTTAACAAATGAGGCCTACATACCAGTCCCTGTGTGCTGGATGCCTGGTACATCCAGGGATCTAAAGACAGCAAGTAAAGAGTCCCTCTCCAAGTGAAGTGGTTTCTCTAGTTCAAATGCTTTTGCCTCATATTCAGGGTGGCCTTTCTCTGACCTGTGGTAGTGGGAATCAGCTTCCTCATTTGGAGCCTGGCTCTGAAGTTAATAAGCTATGTGATGTCTTTGTGGTTCAGTTTCCTAACGTACAAAGTGGGGTGAGGATAACCTCACCCTACAGTGTTTTTGTGGGATTAAAAGTAAAGCTTTTAGAAAAGTGCTTCAAACACCTTAGTTATCATTAATTCTGATTAATAATTAAAATTCACCCCATTGCTCCCCTCCACCTGCCTTGGACACTCCATGATCAGCTCTGCTTGGGGCCTTGGTATCCTCAGTTCTGTTTAGAAATCCTTCAAGATCTGGAAGAGACCTCTTCTTGACTTTTTTGTAAAGATTTTTTTATGCATACAGGAACTGGGGTACAGGCCAGAGTTTGGGTGTGCGTGTGAGAGGATTCACCAGAGACAGAGTGGGGAACAGCATAGCCGGATTGACTGAAATACACTGCTGAGAGGAGCAGCGGGTGAGACAGGAGAGGTTTGCTGTGCCATGTGGGTCACCTCCCTGGCAGGGGATGGAACTCATGCTGCAGTAGCTGCGGATTGCTCCATAGTGCTGATGCTTAACCCCTTGTGCCACCAGGGAAGCCCCCTCTTCTTGATTTCTTATGTTCTCAGCTGCTCACTTGGCATATAGTATCTTATACTGGAGTCTGGAATATCACAGGGAAGAAATTGAATAATTGTTGGACGGTGTGTTGGCCCTGTGCTGCCCGGTGGAGGGAATTAGGACAGGCTACTCACCTGCAAAATAGGATGATCACAGCTGCCACATAGCACGGTGATCAGGGCTAAGAGAGACTAAATGGGAGAATGTTCCTGAACTTAGTAGGACCTTATACTCCTCTGATTTTCAGTAAAATCCCCAGAAAGTGGACAACACTTGCTTCCCCTCTCCTCATCCCCTCACCTCATTTCCCCATTCCCCTGTCTTTTATTTAGTGTTTTGACAAAGGAGGCCGGGCTCATGATTTCGTGCATTTCTGGAGGGTCCGGCCCTACCCCAGGAGCCCCGAGGCAGGAATTTCCTCAGTTTCATCTTTGGCATGGGGACATCTAATCAGTACCCCACCTTCTCGCCGTTGCTCTTTCGGGCTTGCTGAACTTGCCTTCCCGAGCCTCAGTTTATACTCGAAGTAGGACCAGAAGAAGCGCCTAGCCAGGGCGGCGGGTATGGCGTTATAATCCTAATTTAGAAAAGCCCTTTACCTCGGGCGTGCCTGCCCTGTGGAGGGTGGGCTTCGGGCTCTCAGGGCCCCCAGAGTCCAGAGGTATTGGCACCTGAGAGGGGGCTGCACCCGCCGGGCGATCTTCGTTCAGCTCCGGCCGCGGGAACAATGGGAGGGCGGTGGGAAGGCGGGTGGGCGGTGGCCGGGTCCCGGCTGGAGGCAGAGCAGGCGGGCGAGCTGCGCGCGGGGCTGTGGGGTTAGCCCCGGGCACCGGGCCCAGAGCCGCGGCGTCCTGGCCTCGGAAAGCCGAGGTTGGCGCTGGGGATCCGGGTAGCGGCGGGGGCGGGGCCGAGCCCACCCGCGGGAACCCGGGGGGCTCGGAGGCCGGGCCTGGGGTCTCCCCTGCAGGCGCGCCGCACGCCCCGGCCTCTGCGCTCCGGCGCGGCTCAGGTAGGCGCGGGGCGCGGGCCCACGTGGGGAAGCGGGCCGCGGGCCTCGGCCGCCGGGCGGGCTCGCGGGGCTCAGCCCCCTCCCCGCCCCCCTCCCGAGGGCCGGCGCGGCTCCTCCCGGCGCGCGGCCCCGGCTCTGGCGGCTCCCGCGGCGGCGGCGTGTCCCCGGCTGTCCGCGGCCGCCGCTCGCCCGCTCGCTCCGCGCCTGGTGGGCGGCCGGGATCGCCGACGCCCGCTCCCCGGGAGCCGGCCGGGGCGGGGCGGAGGGGGGAGCCCGGGCGTGGGGGGCGGGCGTGGAGGGGGCTGAGCGCCGTGGGAGGGAGCGAGCGAGCGAGGGAGCGAGCGAGCGCGAGGGGCATTTCTGCGCAGCTCGAGCGCGCCTCGGAGCCCGCCCGGGCGGCCGCCGGACGCACCGACCGAGGACAGACCGCGCTGGAAGCCAGGTCAGCCGTCCCGCGCCCCGCCCCGGCGCTCGGGGACCCCGGGACCCCGCCGCGTCGGCTCTCCAGCGTGTGAGGCCGGGGGGTGTGTTCGCCGCCCGGGGCCGGGAGCCCGGCCCCCTCCTCGGGCACTGACAGGCCAGCGCAGGGTCTGACACCACCGCGGGTGTCGGCGCCCGAGCCGGGCGCTCCAGGCCGCGCGCGCGGGGCTCTGCACGGACGCCCGCGAGTGTGTCGGGGCCACGTCTCCGGGCGTGTGTTGGGTGTGAGCGCGCGAGTGCCCGCGAGCCTGTGATGCTCGGTGTGAGCGCGCGTGCGTGTGCGCCGGGTGTGTGTGTGTGTGTGTGTGTGTGTGTGTGCGCGCGCTCTGTATTTCTCAGTCTGAACTGTGTGGGGTGTGTGTGTCTGGGTGTGGGTGCGCGTGTCTGCGGGTGTCTGTTCTTGAATGTGTCTGTGAGAGGGTGTGTCCGAATGTGTAGCCGAGCGTGTGTGCATCTGGGTATGGGTGTGTGCCAGCAGCTTCGCTGGTGGCTGGAGCTGGTGGCGGGGTGTGTGTGCCGCTGTGCGAGCACCAGTGTGAGTCCCCGTGTGTGCGCGTGTGAGGGCGGGTGTGCACCCGCGTAGCCCCGTGTGCGTGTGCGCGGCTTTGTCTCCGCACTGCCGGGAGGAAGGGGTGGGGGCGGCGGCCGGCGCCGCGGTCGCCAGAAGCCGGGCACCTGGCCGGGGCGGTGGGTGGCGCTGGAGGGAGCGTCCCCGCCCGGCGGAGACTCCCTGCCGGCAGGTGGGCGGCCACACCCCGGGGGCCAGGGGAGCTGGGCCGAGGGCGTGTCCTGCCGGAAGCTCAGCGTGTGTGTGTGTGTGTGCGCGCGCGCGCGCGCGCGCGTGTGTGTGTGTGTGTGCGCGCGCGCGCGCGCGCCTGTGGGTGCGAGATCGTGGTGGTGGCGACAGCAGATCCCGGGCTGGTGACCCAGCGGGTTCAGGGATCCATTTCCTGTTGTCCAGAGACAGACCAAGTCACTGGCGCGCCCACCCTCACCCCGCAGGCTCCTGCGAGGGAGCCGCACCTTAGGTGCCCTCAACAGAGGAGGGAGAACCACTCTCTCCTTAAAGGGCCAGTGTCCAGGCGCCAAGGAATCCTCTCAGGAGACCTCTACTTTGAGAGGTCTCTGGGGGTGCCTGGATCTCTTTCCCCACGCGTTGGTGCAGTGCATGCATGCGTTTCTACATCTGAAGTCTGTGCATGTGTGTTTTCTTCTATGTATTTCTGTTGCATTTGTGTGCATAGGTATGTTTTATCATTGAACAGTAAATGTAGCTCTTGATAAATATGTGTATGTGCTTTTATGAATTCTGGTATATTTGTTTTTATGTACTCACTCCTGTTTATATATTAGTACGTCTGTGGATGTG